TTACCTTACTTTCATGAAAACCACTTCGCTTGCCATCTTTCATTCCTGTGAGTCTCACATCACTTCTGTATAGTCTTGGACACTTATTTTTATAAAAATTGTCAATTTCTGTAATAATAAAATTAATTGCAAGAGATTTTTTTTTACTGTGTCAAGTGAGCAAATTATTACATAAAAAAAAGAAACAAATCATCACATAATTATAAAATCTAACTTCTGTGTAATAAAGACAACAAAACTTGTGAGAGACTAAATTAAAATAGAAATAACTTGTTGGTAAAAGTTATCTAAAAATCATAGATGCTGATAACCAGCTGATAAGCTTTCCCTGACTCGTGTTTGCAATAGGACTTCAATCCATGAATATGTAGCACACTGTTTAACTGGACTACAGGTCTCTGGAGCACAGAGCAGTTCATTCTCACACTTAGATTTGTTATAGATAAGGGTTTTATTCAGAGGTTTCATAACATTTTAAAGTGTTGCTAGCTAACTCCTGAATTACTGTTAAGGTGATTTTGTAATAAACGATTAGAAGGGAAAATTTATCACTTTCTCTTCCTGAAATTTATTATCTCTGGTAAATGTGAGAAAAAATAATCACAAACAAACAAAAAACAGTGATTTTGTACTGAGATCCTCTAAATGAATGAATGCCTTTCCCTCATTAAATAGTCCTTGCAAATAACCCTTTCAATCCCAGATCTCATTGGTGACTCTCCTTACTGTCTGCCAAACAATTCTTATGACGTTAGTTCTTAGAATTTGGTATTTGATCAACAAATAATCTCCTAATTGATATTTTTCTTTATTCCTATGGCTAGTTTGCTTGACATTATATTGATACTTCAGGAAAAAATTCTGTCTTGTGCAATCATGAGAGAAAAAGGCTTAAAATTTAAAACTTTTTTAGCACCTGGGGTAATAAATCCAGAGTCAGCTGTAAGTACATGACATCACATTTCTGTATAATATTATAAATGGCCTTGGACTTGCGTGGTAACAGCCTACACATACGGCTCGCAAGTAAGATCAGTAAAAGGATGAAAGCAAATAGCTAATTTGCAGAAAGCAAAAAGATTAGTTACAACCTCCTTTCTGTTGAACTACTGGTACTCAGTGCCTCTTTTATGTTTTGTTCAATCAAAATTTGAAACTATCTATGTATAAAAATTAGAATATTGTTATTTGCAATATAAACTGCATTAAATAATTTTTGCCTAGATTCTGTTTTTTTATGTGAATAACACCTCCACTAATATGAATCTATGTTTGTAATTTATTCCTGATTAATAATTTATTGTCTCTGTATTTCATAAGTGTTTGTAATTTATTAATGAAGCATTGTTTGGTGTATCTGTTGAATACTTTTGTTGTAATAGTCTAGTGTTTAATGTACGTAGGATATTTATTTAATTTAACAGAAAGAGCTAAAAATGATTACCTTTCTGATATGCAGGATGAATGAGAATATAATCCCCAGAGTATTTTCCACTTAAAACGATTTTGCCATTTTTAATAGTATCCTCAATTAATGAAGAATTAAAAATGGTTAGCTCTTCATTGTGTGAATCGAAAATCCTGCAAAATGAAGAAAGCTTTTCAGGTGATTAATCTATAAACCTAAAAAAATAGCACCAAAACAAGCTACATAAAAGACTCAGCACAAAAGGATCTTATCGACTTGAATTCGAGCAAGTCAAATTTCAGTATTCCTAAAAAACGGCAGACATTTGAGGAGGAGAAGAAGATGGAGAAAAATAGAGAGAATTCGTCGCTGCGCTAGGCGCCAAGAGGGGCCATAGGCAACGGTGAGTAATTAAGTAAGTAAAGAAACTTTGCTTTTAAACACACCTTAACGTGTCTTTTGCAGTGGCATTGCTGCTGAAAATGTAGTCTACATCACTGAACTCTTTCCCGACAAGTCCCCCTCTTTTCACTGGAAATCAAGCAAACATAAACAAACAATAAAAAAAACCGCCAAGTTGACTTGCATCACTATAAACGAACATACATAGCGCAACGTACCCCATCGAGACTTCAAACTTGCAGGTACACTCGTAGAAAACCAAGCAGTCAATCCTTCGAACACCTGAGTTTCGTCAAACATCATTCTCGCACATGGCTAAGTTAAGACCTTGACTAATCATCCTTCATCTGTAAACTAAATTAAACGATCACGAAATTATGCGTATTTAGAGGTAAGTATTTAGTGTAAGCAGAATGGTCATGTCCCCATCCCATAATGACGTAAGTCCCACTAGGCCCTGATTCACAGAACGCAGTGCACTTTCGAAGATCATCTCTTTGCATGATTTTCATCCACAGATAACATGAAATGTATTTCATTACAAGAGGAATAAGACTTATTTTGTTCCTGAGGAAAGAAAGAGTTCATCTATTGCCGTTACTAACCCTTTTCTGATTCTATACGTGTGATCTCAGCAGTTTATTCCTAAAACTCGTTTCAGTGCTACATAACTTTGAGACATTAATAAACTGAATAAATGAAACTCATGATGGAACCCAATATTTTAACAGGCAACTATTTTTATAACACAATAATGTGTATAACTGCCTGATTTTCGATGAAAAAGAACTCGCCCTGGCAGTGAACACTCTGTTACCCCATTCACACCAGCAAAACATGTTTAGTTAAACTAACTGAATAAAAATCAGGTTTTATCAACTGAGTTGATAACGTGAATTGGCCACCGTAAACAGTTAAAAAGCTGACATTAAGAGCATTAGCCCGTCGTCAGAGCAAATGGAATTTCACAAATGTGCATTATTCTTTTCTGTTCAACTATCAGTACATTTGTTTATCTATCTATTTTTGCATGGTTAAACTTGCACGAAAAGATGTTTGAAAACGTTTGCATGTTTCACGTCCACACATCAGTTATACCTTTGTGATGTACTTTGTTTCTCCACATGAGGTAACGGACCGATCCAGTCACACTTTTGTTTACATTTCACTCGGAGGCGCAAAAAATCACTGACCCAGGCTTTGTCAGAGAAGAACTGAATTGTGCCGAAAACATTGAATTAAGCGGTTAGAAGGTAAAGCTGAGCAAACAAGCCGGCCTAAACCAAATTACTATAGAGTCTAAATGTGTTTCACGTTTCAAAAATCCAGCCTATCAATTTAATTTTTACAATTTGAAAAGCTTCTTGTGCGTTCCTTAGATGTAAAGATTTAAGGTCTAGTGCAGACTGGGTGAAGTTAAAATTTTAGTCGTTGACTCTAATAATGACGTCTGCTCTCTCTTTACTTTTGCTGACTAGAGTCCTTTCTTTTCAGGACTATTCTCCCCCGGTCGATTGCACTTGCACGATGATTTGTTTCATCCGGTTTCAAACCAATGACTATATGAACAATGTGACAAACATTGACAAAAGAACAACAGAGAGAAAATTGTGCAGCATTGTCAAATGATACAAGGTTACCGATTAGAACGCAGCAAGTTACAGTGTATTGAGATAATTATTTTCCCCAGGCCCTTCCAGATTACACAGATCAAGGAAAAGTTGCGCCTCCTTCTTTCTGAATCTTTTTGCCAGCTATTTTTAAAAAACTGCCGGGATGAGTGCTCCTGTGGATTACATAAATGCACTGAATGGGCTCTAAAATGCCTAATTTCTATGATGAGAAGGGAAAAATACTTTTTGTTTCATAACGGATGTCTTATAGCCCACGCCGCACCAAATCACTCTCGCTCTAGAGATCGAAAAACTGTTTGCTTATGGCCGCATAATGCGCTGAACAGTCCGAACCTTCAACATTCACCCCGAGAAGACTCCGCGCCAGGAGGGGGGGGGGGGTTGGAACCTTGCCTGGGTGGGGTGGGGATTTGACTGGAACTGCCGAAGTCTTTCCAGCGGAACATATGTGTTTTATCTTTTAATATGGAGGTGATAAAAGGTAAAGAGTTCACTTTCGCAAGCATATGGCTCAGAAGTGGTCTACAAGAAAGTCACAGTCGCTGATCTTGCCTTTTGCAAAAAAAAATTGATCATGAAATCCGGCACTTGGGAAGGGCATTTGAACATTGTGTTGGGGCGACACTGATTTGAATGAAGCAATCTTCAAAAGTTCAAATAACCGTGGGGATGCCCGGGAGGATGTTGAAGCTTCGAACTGAACGACGCATAAGATAATTGGTTTTAAACAAACTTAAGAGCTGCAATCTTAGAGAACTACGTCGCGCAGTTCAGTTGACCTCAAAGTCGTTATTGTTCGTGACTACGTTCGGGTGGAGAAGTCGGGGAGTCGAAGAGAAGCTTTTCACGTCTCAGAATTTCAGGCAGGTTTTGATGATGATAGCTTACACTCATGCAAAAAATAAGCATTTTTTTTACACAGAAATACAGGTTTGTGCTGACCTAAGCACAAGGGTCCAATTTTTTATTTCAATCGCTCAGGCTTCGAACAACGAAGTGTTTCGAGAGTTTCCATTACAATCCTCTATAGACATTCCCTTAAAAATCAATGGCCACACTCTCAACTCTGCACTGCATCTTTCATAGCCAACAGGCACACCTAACACTTTTGATTGTCCAATACCTCGTCCACAAATTCGTATTCATAGCCACCAAGATAGGGTTTAATTTCTTCATAGTCGCTTTGATTGTCATCTGTAATGACACAACCGTCTTGTGTTTCTTCCTTGTCTTCACTCAAGCTTTCTACAAAAATATTATCGAGGGACCATCTAAGGCTCCATCTTGTGTAAAACTATGATGAGAAAGACGGTTATCGAAACCACGAGGTTTCATCCGCAAACAGAAGAGTGCGTGCCGGAGTAAGTTAAAGGCCAGCCAATAATGATGATGAAACGGAAACAGCCTTACTGATTTAATCGCAAGATCACTTTTCATTTCCGCTTTGAACTTGATTGACAATCAATAAAAGCACCACCAATCATAATGATGGAACTGAGGCAAGCCCTTACTGGTCTGGGTGCTGAAAAAGCACTTTCGGTTTCCACGGTTTAACGATGGAGGACGGGTATTCGAGTGAGGAAGAACCCGAATCGGGTGGCCATGATTTTGTGTTTGTAGACGAGTTGTCTCCCGGCCAAACGTGCCCAATTTGTCTTGTGGCAATGTGCAACCCCGTACAGACGGTTTGTGGCCATCGCTTTTGTGAAAGCTGTCTACAGGGGACATTCAGGTGTTGTTTACTACATGTTTGTACCTGCTCACAAATGGAGCACTGTCCTATTTAATGCCTGGCTTCAACTTCATTTGAAGCCTATGTGTGGAATGCAACGGTTTATATACAACGCTGACATGAACGAAGACCGAGAATTACTCGGAAGCTGAATATTTATGTCAAAGATGTGCAACTGTTTGTGCACAAATAACTCTCGCTTTGTATTTTTGCATTTCAGGGAAGGAGCTGGCCGGGTTTGTCCACAAGATAGGATTTCTATTCCTGAAGATGGTGGGGTGAGTAAATTGATGTTGGAAACGTAGCCTCGAGAAGCTTCGTAAGCACATATATTGGCCACCTTGTTTCGTCATAAATGACGACCTTGTCGCGAATGTTTAGAACCACCACCAGGTAAGGTAAGGCAGCAAGCTCTGAAAAAGAGGTTACTGAGAACTGGAGAATTTTGGCAAGAATAAAATAGCAACAAAGTTGAATGCAAGTTGCGGAGGCGACGACATACTTCATGTTTATTCAAGGACCCTCTTTCTGTCACCGAAATTAACATGCTTGACTTGCAGCATTCAACTGATTGACACTTCAAGGGTTAAATCGATACAGCTTGATAAAAAATTCCAAAGGTATCTGTGTCTTTAATGTTCTCAAGATAACTTAATAACGCCATTGTTTATCCTGTATGTTCCACAGTATTTTCGTGACGTGGCGTGGGAGAGGGATATCCTTTCTCTACGAGTCAAATGCAAGATGAGTGAGAGAGGATGTGATTGGACCGGAATGCTCCGTTACTATGAGGTGATTCACTATTAGCTTCTTCTTTCTTATTTCAGATCTCATCTCGTTGTAACAAGAAGCACTGTTTATTGTTACGGAATAAGACACTCGATCTTAAGAGAACTCGATCCACATCATAAACTAGACTATTACTTCCTTTAGTCAAAGATTTATTCAAGACCAGAAATGTAAAGAATACAAAAACATTTACATCCCGGATCAAGACTCTGCCCTTCAATGGCGGATATAGAGGTTTTTTTATTAATATTTTTTTGGGTGTGACGAAGAGTCACAAGAAGGGTTCTCTCACCTCAGTATGTCACAAAGATCAATTGAGGGGTATTCCAGAATGGCGTTTCCGATAAGATGCTAAAACATAAAATAAATCTTTTAAGACAGAGAGAAAAGCAATTGCTGTTTCTTTCACTCACCTACAGGATCACTTTCAGTTGTGTGAATATGAGGATGTTTTTTGTGATGATTGTAACGAAGAGTTGCAAAGAAGGTCCCTAAACACGCACCAAACTTCAGAATGTCACAACAGGATTGTGCAATGTGAACACTGCGCAATGGAGTTTGCCTTCAGGCTTACAGAGGTGAGGCTGTACTGTCTATAGAATTAACTTTTTAACAAACCTAAGAGAATTAACACAATTTTTTCACCTGTGACCTATCGCGTTCCTGAATGGTAAGTGACGAATGTATGAATAGATTTTGTAATAAAGTTCGGATATGGCGCGCGCTGTCATTGGTTGAAAGGTGCTCTATCAATGGGTACGATAACGAATCTTGCAATCTGATTGGTTCTTAGCACGGTCCGGATTTTCCTATCTCTGCTCAAATTACTATAATTTTATGGTAATAATAAAAATCAAACACAGTTAACACTGCGTGCTTTACAATAGAACAGAGCACATTCAAGGCTTCTCTATTTGTTCAGCAGAATGTAACTCGAAGTTTCCTTACTGTACTAGATCGGAATCGATGTTATAACAAAAATTTCGAGGAACATTTAGCTTCCTTTTTCTGTCACAACTATTATATTTGAATGACCAATTTCCATTTTTGAACCTTATTTCATGAAAGTCTTTCAACTGAAAGGAGAAAAAGGAGATGCTAGGGCTTAAGGTTCATAAGGCCGGGGACAAAAATGTTCTAGGTATTAATTTCCATATTTTTTCCTGAGTTACTCGTATTTTCACGTGTGGTTGCGGGTTAATGATCATTTGCATGAAAGTATAATTTAACGGCAATTATATATGACAAAGAGAAATGCCTTTTGATAATAATATTCATCTGCATGACTTATAAGGTGTATTTCTCCTAAAATCTACAGAGTCATGAATATGAATGCCTGCGTTGGCCGCTCGATTGTCCTCAAGAATGTGGAATACTCGGGATACCTCGAGAAGAGGTAGAGTTGTTTTCCGCGATGCAAGTGTTCATTATCAATAAATTAATAATGTCTTCTTAAACTTAAGGTAAATATGTCCTAAATGTCCGTTTAGTTAATACTATCTTTTTTGTTTTTTTTTTTTGAAACGTTTGGCGTAGATATGCTGCATTTAAACCGTTACAGTGGTTACTGTACATTATTTCTATCATTGCTGTTATTATTATTATCATTGTTAGTAACAACTGAGTACCATTATTATCATCATTATTAATATTCTTGTTCCCTTACTATGACAAATGGAATTAGGTGAGAGACGCAGTTCAGCGAAGCTTGATAAACATACATGATGGGGCGGTACATGTGTCGAGAAGGCATGGGTCCAAGACTCGGCCAAGCCTGACCTATTTTCAGTGTAGACTTCGTTTTCTGCATTCACGTCGATATTGCTTTCTACCGTCTATTTCACGTCCTCTCCTCTGTTGAAGTCGATGTGGGACAATCCCAAACTTTGACAAAAACCAACGTTCCAAATCTCAATTTTTCATACAAACCTTACTGGAAGAGATTCTGAAAAAAAGTTATCACAAATCTGGCTGAATTATTGGATCCACGGATCCATACATAACTTTAAAAAAAAATCAAAAAATGATTTGCGATCCAAGATTCGTAGTGAGACCCACACTAATTTTCACAACCGAGGAAGATGTTTTATTTGCGTCAGCAGTCAATTACAAGCTGAGGTTTACCTCTCTGCCGCTATTTAACATGCTCAAGGAGCGTGAGAAATAAAGCAAGGATGTAAAGTAGGATGTTCTGCCGTAAATTTAAAGGTGTGGAATGCTAAAGTGAAGTGAATAGGAAAGTGTGTTCTACACTTTAGCAGATGAAAGATTCACTATGGAGCATTACTGAGATAGAGGGTTTCGTTATCAGACCATTTTTCACTTTCTTGTTAATATTATGGTATTTCTGTCAACGCAAGGACAATGAAAAGGAGGCTTAGTCAGAATGGATTGCGAAGGAGTAATCAACTTTACTCAGATTAATGTTCCAGCCGGGATTCACTCCACAATCTAAAATCTTGATCATGTAAACACAATAACAACAATAACAAAAAATTTGTGGCCTTTTTCAGGTGGAGTCCCACGTAATGAATGATTGTATGATGACAATGGTCCTTTGTCCTTATGAGGAAGCAGGATGTAACTTTTATGTAAGTAAGGTAGATGAAGATGTCTTCATAAAGTGTCACTATTTCAGGTGGAGCTACTATACCGATGGCAGGAAGATACCAATTTGTAATAATGTTAAAATTTGAATCTTCACTGTTGGCCGGATTTGAATGTGCACTCTTAGAACTAACCCGTGTCACAAGGTTTCAAGCTAGAGAACCCGACGTTATGCCTAGATTTTAATTTTGTGTCGTTTTTGTTTTTACCTCAAATCTTTCGCATTCATCATCTATCGGCCCTGATTTCATTCCAGGCTGTGGTTAAAAAAATGATCATAGCTTTGGTAGAATAAAAGTATCATCACGATTACTTTATGGTAGTTGTATTTTCAGATCCTTTTGATATTGTGTAATGATAGTTTTTGGCAGCGCTGTTAATCAAATGTATGGCAAAAACCCAACAACGTAATGGGTATTTTCATACAATCTTCTTAGGACGAGAGAAGCAATTTAAAAGCCCATATTGATGCGTCACGTGAGGAACATCTGAGCAAAACTTGGTCCAAGCTGCTTAAGACAACAGAAAGGGTAAATGAGTTGGAGCAAGTGAAACTTCACATGCAAACCGATATAGACACAGTGAAAAAGTCATTGGAAGAAGCCAAAGAAGATGTGGCACAACTTAAGCTGTCAGAGGCGGAGAGAAAACTTGAAAATCTGAAATTGAAAAAAGATGTGCTTGAGCTGCAAATGAAGCTTAAAGACTCGCATCACAATGTCAATTTACCAAGAAAGCAGGATTTCGATCGGTGTATAAAGATAGAGGAATTGTCCTGTAGCGACACTGAAGAAGATTTGAAGGATGAAGAAACAACTAAATCATCAAAAGCCACTAAATATTATCTCTCCAAACCTGTGGTTGGTCGCAGCAAACCAAACGTGTAAGTATTTGAATTTACTACTTATTAGTCTGATTTCAGAAGCAATATACACAAGTTAATTCTAAAATTGTTGAAATCTAACCTACGTTATTTTTGTCGTAGCTTTCTATTCTGTATTATACCATCCACAGGAGTTTTTCTCCACATAATGGGGAAGCTATAACTGCGGGCGCGTTAATATGATTTGCTAGATCCTTATGAGCCTTCCAGCAAGTTATGAAAAGAACTTTGAAATGGCTGGCATGCTATCCCTTTGGAAAACATAGTTCTCTCTAAACACTGCTCAGCTCTGTTTTTAACGACTTGCGGAAAACCTACGTGACTAATAAAATATGCGAAAGCAAAGCAAACAGAAGGTACACAAGGGCTTGTTTGACTATAAAGTTTCATATTGTTGTCTTTTCAGGATACCTAAGTTGAATCCTAAAGGAGCAGCCCGGAAAGTTTCAAGTCGAAATTAATTTTAAACTTCATTGTTATATTTTGCTTTATTTACTTAAATGGGAATATTAGTTTTACCGTAACATCAAGACACTTTCCTTTAGTCTAATAGCAGTTTCTAGTGCTCCAAAAGATCAGTTTTTTTTTTGCCAAATAATACAGACACCACGAGGATGGCTACCTCAACGTTGTTACTCCATTTATGATTTGGATATTGGGTACAAAATAAAGGTCCGGCAACGGAAACTGTCGCAGTTGTCAATAGATAAGTTTGATTCAAAATCATTTTTAATGCCCCTTGTTTTATTACTTTGTTCTGATAAATTCGAAGCTGTAACACCTGCCCCCCGGCAACCCACAGGCATTTGCCTGTTGTCCATGCACCCGGGGGGGAACTTTGCCTCATCGCCAGAAATCAAGGACATTTCGAGCCCGCTAACAATTATCAGCGGTATATCGTAGGCGAGTGTTTGGGATGGAGAACGACGGATTTTGAAGAACTATATGGCGACTTAGGTTAATGAACAATGACAAAAGAACTGGCTCGGGAAGTAAGTGGTTTTTATTTATCGAGACACTGTGAGGGTTGATGGATAGCAGAATCAGTTCTGAATGTCTCGATCGAGAGCAGACGGGACCGTGAGCTCCTGATTGTTATATTTCAAAAATTTTACAAATTTCCACATAGTTTCCTATATTATTTGGACGCCTTTATGGACGAAATGCGCAAGCGCGGCCGCCATCTTATCCAATATTTCTGCCAATGTGGTGGGGAAGGAAATTTGAACCAGTGGCATAAACGTGTTTTAATTTTAAGAGCGCTTGTCTGTAAAAATCACACAAATTCTAAATTTCGCGGCAAGGGTGAAAAATTCGATTTCTCTCTTATTTTAATATTAGATAGGCTAGACTATAACTAAAATCACTGGATACTTTTTTTGGCAAAATGTCTTTTTATTTCAGAGAAAAATACAAATAAAAAAATTCCGTTAAAATCGTCATTTTTAGCTGCAAATTATTAGTAGTTTTGTATACGGAGAGTCGTCACGCAATGCAAATCATACAATGGAAAGTAATTTTTTAGGGGGTAGGGGAAGGGG